GCACAAGAACCATAACTCTATTTGGATTTATTACATAGTGCCCTTTGATACTTTTCCTTGTTAAGTGCATAACTTGAAAACTAGTTGTTGGGATTCAAAACAACTTCATACAATGGTTAAGCGCAATGAGAGGAACTGCATTGTACAATTACCAGAACTTCATCTGTAGTATTTGCAGAGTTATTGACCTTTCTGGTGCATAACTTAAAACTAGAGCTGTCATTGATTCAGTGCAAAGCATATCAACGATATATCGATATCAGATGACTAAAATCAACGATACACCGATATATCGATAATAACCTATAATTATGCCCCCCTTCGAAGAAGTGGGGGGTATATAGTTTTGCTAATGTCGGTCTGTCCGTCGGTCTGTCTGTCCGTCGGTCTGTCCGTCGGTAGACCACATGGTTTCCGCTGATTATCTTGAAAACTATTTATCACAAAGTCTTCATATTTCACATAGTGATTGGTCATAACTAGTAGATGACCCCTATTGATTTTGGGGTCACTAGGTCAAAGGTCAAGGTCACAGGGGCCTTAAATGTCAAAATGGTTTCCGCTGATTATCATGTAAAGTATTCATCACAAAATCGTCATACTTCACATAGTGATTGATCATAACTAGTAGATGACCCCTATTGATTTTGGGGTCACAAGGTCAAAGGTCAAGGTCACAGGGGCCTTAAATGTCAAAATGGTTTCCACTGATTATTATGCCCCCATTTCGAAGAAAAGGGGGTATATTGCTTTGCACTAGTCGGTCCGTCGGTCTGTCGGTCCGTAGACCAAATGGTTTCCGATTGATAACTAAAGAACCCTTAGGCCTAGGAACTTCAAACTTGGTATGGTGATTGGTCATGACCAGTAGATGACCCCTATTGATTTTGGGGTCAAGGGGTCAAAGGTCAAGGTCACATTGACCTTGTAAGCAAAAACGGTTTCCGATCAATAACTAAAGAACCTTAAGGCCTAGGAACTTCAAACTTGGTATGGTGATTGGTCATGATCAGTAGATGACCCCTATTGATTTTGGGGTTAAGGGGTCAAAGGTCAAGGTCACATTGACCTTGTAAGCAAAAACGGTTTCCGATCAATAACTAAAGAACTTTAAGGCCTAGAAACTTCAAACTTAATATGGTGATTGGTCATGATCAGTAGATGACCCCTATTGATTTTGGGGTCAAGGGGTCAAAGTTCAAGGTAACATTGACCTCTTGGGTGAAAACGGTTTCTGATCAATAACAAAAGAACCCTTAGGCCTAGGAACTTCAAACTTGGTATGGTGATTGGTTATGACCAGCAGATAACCCCTATTGATTTTGGGGTTAAGGGGTCAAAGGTCAAGGTCACATTGACCATGTAGGCAAAAACGGTTTCCGATCAATAACTAAAGAACTTGAAGGCCTAGGAAGTTCAAACTTGGTATGGTGATTGGTTATGACCAGCAGATGACCCCTATTGATTTTGGGGTTAAGGGGTCAAAGGTCAAGGTCACATTGACCATGTAGGTAAAAACGGTTTCCGATCAATAACGAAAGACCCCTTAGGCCTAGGGACTTCAAACTTGATATGGTGATTGGTCATGATCAGTAGATGACCCCTATTGATTTTGGGGTCAAGGGGTCAAAGGTCAAGGTCACATTGACCTCTTAGGTAAAAACAGTTTCCGATCAATAACTAAAGAACCCTTAGGCCTAGGAACTTCAAACTTGGTATGGTGATTGGTCATGACCAGCAGATGACCCCTATTGATATTGGGGTTAAGGGGTCAAAGGGCAAGGTCACATTGACCTTGTAGGTAAAAATGCTTTCCAATCAATAACTTAAGAACCCTTAGGCCTAGGAACTTCAAACTTGGTATGGTGATTGGTCATGACCAGCAGATGACCTATTGATTTTGGGGTCAAAGGTCAAGGTCACATTGACCTTGTAGGTAAAAACATTTTCAGATCAATTTACTAAAAACGCTTAGGCCTAGGAACTTCAAACTTTGTATGATGATTGGTCGTGACCAGCAGATGACCCCTATTGAGTTTTGGGTCAAAGGGTCAAAGGTCAAGGTCACATTGACCTTGTATGTTAAAAACGGTTTCTGATCAATTAACTAAAAACGCTTAGGCCTAGGAACTTCAAACTTGGTATGATGATTGGTCGTGACCTGCAGATGACCCCTATATAGATTGAGTTTTGGGTCAAGGGGTCAAAGGTTAAGGTCATGACCAGTAGATACTTGATAACCCTTATTAATTGTTTGATCACTGGGTCAGAAGTCATGCATAATAACCTTATCACATGACTAATTGGCTGCTGATAGGGGGCATACATGTTTTACAAACATATCTTGTCTTGAAAAGAATTCATCACAAAGTCTTTATATTTCACATTGTGATTGATCATAACTAGAAGATGACCTCTATTGATTTTGGGGTCACTAGGTCAAGGTCAAGGTCACAGGGGCCTTAAATGCCAAAATGGTTTCTGCTGATTATCTTTGAAAGTATTCATCACAAAGTCTTCATATTTCACGTAGTGATTGGTCACAACCAGTATATGACCCCTATTGATTTTGGGGTCAAAGGTCAAGGTCACAGGGGCATTGAATGGTAATATGATTTCCGCTTATTATCTTGGTTACTATTTATCACAAAGTCGTCATATTTCACATATTGATTGGTCATAACTAGTAGATTACCCCTATTGATTTTGGGGTCACTAGGTCAAAAGTCAAGGTCACAGGGGCCTTGAATGGTTATATGATTTCTGCTTATTATCATGGTCACTATTTATCACAAAGTCTTCATATTTCACATTTAGATTGGTCATAACTATTAGATGACCCCTATTGATTTTAGGGTCACTAGGTTAAAGGTCAATGTCACAGGGGCCTTAAAAGTCTGAATGGTTTCCGCTGATTTATCATGAAAAGTATTCATCGCAAAGTCTACATATTTCACATACTGATTGGTCATAACTAGTACATTACCCCTTTTGATTTTGGGTCACTAGGTCAAAGGTCAAGGTCACAGTGGTCTTAAATGTCAGAATGAATTCCGCTCATTATCTCGGTTACAATTCATCACAAAGTAGTCGTAGTGGATGACCCCTATTGATTTTGGGGTCACCAGGTCAAAGGTCAAGGTCACAGGGTCTTTGAATGGTAGAGGAATGGTAGAGGATTTCAGCTTATTATCTTTAAAGATAATTATCACAAAGTCTTCATATTTCACATATTGATTGGTCATAACCAACAGATGATCCGTATTGCTTTTGGGGTCACTAGATCACAGGGGCCTTAAATGTGTACAGTGTATTGTCCACTGCCTTTTTTTTCCAGACAATATTTTTTGTCACCATTGCTATGAAATATTTCCACTATATAACAAAAGCATAACATTAGACATAAGTGACTGTTCAGTATATGTTTTGGGTGATTTTTGTGTCGCCTCTACGGAGTAGTGGCGACATATAGGGATCACTTCTCTGTCGTCCGTCTGTCTGTCCGTCACAAAACTTGTCCGGACTACTCCTCATAAACTACTGGTGCAATTTCATCCAAACTTTACAGGAATGATCAGTACCAAGTCTAGTTATGCATATTGTCAGCATTTTCCGGTTCAATGATTTTTGGCAGAGTTATGGCCCTTTAATAATTTTTAATTTTAAAGTTTGTCCAGACTACTTCTCTTATACCACTAAAGCAATTTCAATGAAACTTTACAGGATTGATCTTTAGCTCAAGTCCTTGCGCATATTGCAAGGGTTTTCCGGTTGAATGATTTTTGGCCGAGTTATGGCCCTTTGATAAAAAAGGTGTATTTTTCTGTGTGTTGCCAGATACACAAAAGCTTGTCTGGACTACTCCTCATATACTACTGGTGCAATTTCATCTAAACTTTACAGGAATGATCAGTACCAAGGGTAGTTGTGCATATTATCAGCATTTTCCGGTTCAATGATTTTTGTTAGAGTTATGGCCCTTTAATAATTTTTATTTTTAAAATTTGTCCGGACTACTTCTCTTATACCACTAAAGCAATTTCAATGAAACTTTACAGGATTGATCTGTAGCTCAAGTCCTTGCGCATATAGCACGGGTTTTCAGGTTGAATGATTTTTGGCTGAGTTATGGCCCTTTGATAAAAAGGTGTTTTTTTCTGTGTGTTGCCAGATAAGCAAAAGCTTGTCCGGACTACTCCTCATAAACTACTGGTGCAATTTTATCCAAACTTTACAGGAATGATCAGTACCAAGTCTAGTTGTGCACTGTCCGTCTGTCACAAACTTTGTCCCAACATGAAATTGGCCATCATGAGGCGACACATGTGATTACTGATCGCTCTTGTTTTATAACTTCTAGACATTTAATTAATTAGTCAAAAGTATTGATTTTTTGAAATGTGTATCAATTATTGATCGTCAAAAAAATATCAACGATACATCGATATTGTCTCTATCGATGACAGCTCTACTTAAAACTAATGTTGGGAATTCAATGCAACTTCATACAATGGTCAAGCACAATGAGAGAAAGTGCAGTGCTCAAAAACTATAACTCTATCTGGACTTATTACAGAGTAATTCAATAAAACTTCATGAATGGTCAACCAAAGTGAAAGGAAATGCCACGTTCAAGAATCACAACTATCTTTAATTGCCCACAACCATATCTCTATTTCAATTCTTTTACAAGGTAAGGTATTCTGTTGCTAGTATCTTCCTCATTTCCGAAGCAGTCTTGCGGGGTATTAATCACATTTAGTGATAACTTTAGTTTCCATTGTTGTGCATTTCGCCGTCATGTTCTGCTTTGCTGCACAAATAGCTGCCAGAGCTAAAAATAGAAAATCCTGTCCCGCTGCTGGCGGCATTTCCACCAAAATTCACAGGATACATAGTTTTGGGAGACTTGTTTTTGTGACAAAATCCTTCTAGTTTCTTTAATTTTAGGATGACATAACTTGACCTCTACTTGAATTTATGGATTCATCTGCTTTCAGATAAACACATTTCCTAGAGACTTTGATGACACAGTGAGGCGTAAGGACACAAAAAGATCTGATAAGAGAAAGGAAGTTGAAGAAAGAAAAAAAAAGGTATTCATAAATGAAGAAAAAAATTAAAAACAAACATTTTCCTACATTGTTTTATTATGCTCCCCGAAAAATTTCGGGGGAATATAGTCGTCGGGTTGTCAGTCCATCTGTCAGTCAGTTCGAGCAAACATTGTGGGTTTAGAGGCTACATAACAGTACAGAGAACAAAAGAGAACAATAGGTTCATTCCGTGATCAAAGGGTTTATGGGCTAGTAGCCCTTTAGTAGACAAAGAAAATAACAAAGAAATAGCCCCTAAACCCAAAATGTTGGAACGTCCGTCCGTATGTACGTCCCGAATTCGTGTCCGGCCCATAACTTTGTTATTTGAAGTTGGATTTTAAAATTATTTCACAGAAATGATCACCATATTGAGACGACTTGTCACGTGCAACATTTGGGTCGCTACCTCGAAGGTCAAGGTCACAGCATGACCTTGCAGCAAAATCGTGTCTGGCCTATAACTTCGTTATTTGAAGTTGTATTTTTAAAACTATTTCACAGAAATGATCACCATATTGAGATGACTTGTGGCGCGCATCATTTGGGTCGCTACCTTGAAGGTCAAGGTCACAGCTTGACCTTGCAGCAAAATTGTGTAAGGCCCATAATTTTGTTTTTTGAAGTCTGATTTGAAAACTATTTCACAGAAATGATCACCATATTGAGGCGATATGTCCCACCCAACATTTGGGTCACTACCTTGAAGGTCAAGGTCACAGCATGACCTTGCAGCAATATTTGTGTCCGGTGTGACGATGCGTCACGAGCAACATTTGGGTTGCTACCTTAAAGGTCAAGATCACAGCATGACCTTGTTGCACAATTGTATCCAGCCCATAACTTCATTATTTGAAGTAGGATTTGAAAACTATTTAACAGAAATGATCACCATATTGAGACAATGTGTCGTGTGCAACATTTGGGTTGTTTTTACACTTTGAACTTTGTCTGAGACATAACTCTGACACTACAAGAGGTATACCTTCCTGTGTTCAAAACCTATTCGGGTAGCATCACCCGGTTCAACTGGCTCTTGTTTATAATTAGGCAAAAGCTTGGTTTTTGTGATCAAATTTATTATTTCACTGTGGCAAAGTTTGGTAAATGGAGTTACTTCCCTTCTGCAACAGAACACTTGGACATGGTTTCTCTATGCTGTAACATCCGGCATGATGGAAAAATAATCACACACATCAAAATGTAAAAAAAGCATATTCATTGGAAAGTTACTTTTGTAAAATTTTGTGAATTTTTAGCTTACCTTGCACATAGTGCAGGTGAGCTTTTAGGATGGCCAATCATTTGCGTCAGGCGTCCGTCCACATTTTATTCAAACGACATCTTCTATAATACCACTTGGCCAATTTTAATGAAACTTGGCAGGAATACTCTTTGTATGAAGCTCTATCAAGATTGTTCAAAGAATGCCATTCCATGCTTAACTTTGGTTGCTAAAGCAACTAAAAGAAAAAACTTAAAAGTTCTTATACTTCAAAATGGAAAGGGCTAGAGCTTAGATATTTCTCACAAGGCATTTTAAGCTTGTTGGTTTCTACAAAGTATATTCAAATTATGGTCTAGAGTTGAAAATTGGTCTCTGTTTTGGGGGTTAAAGGTTTTTTTTATTGCAAGTTAATATAGACTTTCTTTTAGGGATAAATTTAGAGTGTATCTTGTATTTTTTGTCTCAACAGACATTGTTATGAAGATTTTTCTGTTAAAGCATTAGAAAGATGAAAAGGTTGTTGAATATGAATGTTAATTCAAAACAGAGTCAGTCAGAATAGCACAAATTTGAGAGCTACAGTGAAGTTGATTTCCCCATTCAATAACGGATTCTTCCATTAATTTCGTAACACCATCACAGCATGCCCATTCACGCACTTCAGTGCGTGTTTCACGTACAAAATATTGGATGCACGCACAAAAAATAACATGGAAAGGGTACATGCACGGACAATTTTAAAACTCCCATTTTACACCGTGAAATCGGCAATGTAATTGACGAATGTTTGAGACGGTCTAAATCGTACTTCCGCTATGCTAAAATAACGTATCCGGTACGGATTTGGTAAATGTTTTAGTCTCAACCTCCGTCATATGCGTCGTATGATTATCATAGACTAGCGGTCTGCAAAATGCAGAAAAATATTTTATCATTCGTTAAATCGTCCAAAGGTTTGCTGTCCAGTTTCATCTCTCCTTATATGACCTATAGGCTATAATTTTTGTAGTATGGTTAAGTAACATTATAATTCTGTCTAAGAATAATGATCGGCCAATTTATATGCTGAAAAAAGTGTATGTGATATAGGATAAATTGTATTGCGTATACGTGAATGAATATATGTTAGAAAATGTCTATTTTCATAAACAGCCAACATCTGCATTGCATACTGAACTAATACAAGCCTTAGTATCAATGACTTAGTTTTGATGTATCCTGTACCCCCAATTTTTTAGATGTAACCCCAGTTTGCAGAGACAGGGGTTACATGTACCCTTTATTTAAAAAATGAGTGGGCATGCTGCATCAGAAAGGAGACTGTGTCATTTCCGAAATACAATGTTAAATATTTCGGTTCTTGACAATGACTTGCACATTTTATTGTGTAAGATATTTCACAAAGAAACGAAAGTGAACAAAAAATGTTGTATTTTTTTTCACAAAAATTAGCTGATTAAGATAAAAGTTTAATTTACAGTACAGATATTATTTTTACATCCTTCCGGTTTGCGGAAAAAAAATCATATATTTCAAGATACCTTTTCAAGATGAATTTTTGTGTGGCCTCTACGGAGTAGTGGCGACATATAGGGATCACTTCTCCGTCGTCTGTCTGTCCGTCTGTCTGTCTGTCCGTCCGTCACAAAACTTGTCCGGACTACTCCTCATAAAGTACTGGTGCAATTTCATCCAAACTTTACAGGAATGATCAGTACTGGTTGGCGACCATCAACCGGACACTTTTTAAACATTTTTCCATATATTTTCGAATTTTTAAAGCTAGATACCTGAAATTTTAACACAATACAGCTAGGTTCTTTGCTAAACTGAAGAGCTGGTTTGTTTACTTCCGATTATGTAGACATTCGTGTATGAGGCCCGTGCGGGGGTGTACCAAAGTGTCAAAATTATCCAGACTACAGTACCATGTGTCCGGACAGGCAGTATATAGCTATAATTTAGCCAAAGTAATGGCTTGTATGGTTTAAAAACAATACTGTTCACATAAGCAATATTCCAGCGACAATTGCCGAAAATTTGAGAATTTTATTATTAAATTTGAAATCGTTATAAGCTAGTTTAGGAGGTCAGGTATTGAGCTCTTGACGTAAATATTTTGACGTCAACCTTGTCTTAAGTGATGTAAACTTAGTAATTTTTTAAAGAACAAACAAAAATTAATTTTATTATTTAAGGATCTAACAAGAGTGACACTGTATAATAGTCTATTTAGATTAAAGAAGAAAAGAGACTTTTATCGTGCTTAAAAGAGTTTTATGAATGTTTAACTAGGCCTACTGTATAAGAAGGTGAATGCTTTCTTCTGCCAGATTGATCATTTCAATGAGACAGTTTAATTTACTCATGCTCGTTTGTGGTAACATTCTACAATTCGTATGACAATGAACTCACCATAACGGCAACAGCTATACTAGCTTGCATTATGCAGCTTATGTTTTTGAAATAGATTACACTGTGTATCCTATCAAACAGATGTAAGATATATATAATTTTCTATATACAACTGTATACATTGTATACAATGGTAAGCGAGCAGACAAATAATATTACCAAACTAATCTTGACATAACTATTCTCACATTTATTTCATCATTTTGATTATGCAAAGTCAAAACAAACATCTATAAAACACAAATTTATGAAATAACTAAAAAAACATCAAGAAATACATTCAGACATAATCTTAACATCACAATTTCTCTTACTCTTCCTCATACAACCACGGTTTACATACGGCACAATACCAAGGCAAATCATCACTTTCACTCTCCTTCAGATACTCATTCTCACTCTGACCCAAGCACTCCTCATGATACCAATGCCCACACATACCATCATCGCACCCATACCACATAACTCCATTCACTTCGTCATTCACACGCCCTCTCTCCCCACACACAGCACAGGTAAAACGTTTATGTGCTAAGCAGCCCCCAACAGCCTTCTTCATTCGCTCCTCCTTACAAGAGAGTTCTTGTTCCTTCTTTTTCTTTTCTTCCTCCCGTCGTTTCTTCTTCTCAACTTTCTCTTCTTCTTTTTCTTTCTGCTGTTTCCTTTGTTCTTTTAACCTCAACCTCTCCTCCTTTTCCTCCATCTGGCGTCGCATGACCTCCTTCTCCTGAAAATAAGAACAGAATAACTGTTGAAATAGAGATGAAGAAACAAAAAAGAACATGTGGTTTCATAATATACTTAAGTTGTATGTACAAAAGCAGATATATTTCTAGTGAATTTACTTCTAATTTTTTTCAGCATTTCATCGCCACTTATAACCCGGCCCTCGGTCACAATTCGTGAAGATTTTGATTTTCCCTTTGTTTTTTTGTGGCGGTGGCACCAACACCTGCGCCATTGACTGCGGTATGACCCTTTGGTCAACTAGAGGATTTGTCAGGAATGACCCACAAGCCTCACATGTTTTAACATTGCTGTTTTCCTTTTCACCAGCTGAAATTAATATATATCGTAATTTTGATCTATCTAGGAATGTTGGTTACCTTGATAAAATCTTAATGGTAAGTGTGGCAAGAAAACGGACAACGAACAAATTACTTCAAAAGTGAACTAATGGAACTTTTTAAATAAATGTTTGAAATCTTAAACAAATTAAATAACATGCATTAAGCGATTTACTGTTAAAATAAGTAAACGATAAACAGTAAATACATACTCTGTTCATTTGTTTTAGTAAAAGTTGCTGGAACTAATTGTGATTTATCTATTGCTTGTGGGTTATATGGCACTATGC